GAGGGGAGGCAGGATTTATTTCATGATTTGAAAAAAATAAATCAGAAAATCAGGTTCCAGTACTTCTAAGCTAGAGAAAGTGAGCACAAAGTAACTTCAAACTAAGGGTGAAATGAAAAGCAAATGAAAGTTTCTTACTTTTTTACCTAATTAAAACTTTTTAAAGTCATTAAGTGCAGACCACTAATGTTTATGGTACTGTAAGTACCTAATTCAGACCAGTGGCTAAATCTGTGCATGAAGCCTTTATAAAGCCCTATGTCACCCGAGTCCTACATTAAGGATAAAAGTAGTTCCTTCTCCCATTTTTAGACTTCTGCCTAGGGTATGTTTCACACAAAATCCATGTAGTTTCCTTTAAAAGCTGTCTTTGATTATTAAATAGTTTTGCTTAGAAACTGCACCTTTACCCTTGCAGTGCAAAGGCAAAGCTTTTAGCATGGCGATAAATGGTCTCCTGTACTTCATACAGTGCTGTAGATAAGGAAGAGGTAAAGGTTTTGGCTTTTAAGAGGGTGTGTAACCAGAACTGTAATTTGCATTTGCAAATCCACATGATCTTGGCTGTTAAATTAAGCCCAACAGCTTGTTTGAAGTCGTATGGGGGTGGTAGAGCTGAGCAGAGGTGTAGCAGGTATTGCAACTGAATTACAGGAGATAAAGCCACCCTTAAGGGAGGCACACAGCAGGGAGGACCACTCGCTGCACAGAACTGTCAGAGAAATCCTCCAGAAAACAGGCAAGTCTGGAAATACTAGTGCTAGCTGGACAAGAAATAGATGACAAGTTATATGAGTATCTGCAAGGGATGGGTGTAAAATTTGTCACTACATGGGTGGTATATACAGCTATATTTTGAGTAAGGAGATTGTAATTCCTTAGTTGTCATATAACTAGAACTTTACTCTTGTGTTTATGCTAGCTGAAATTTTGTAGCATTATACCCTTTTTATGTACACTTGCCTCTTACTCAAAGCATATAAACCCTTTTTGCAAAGTTCATCTGGCTGGTTTTGATGTGTTCTTGGACTTCATTTTTTGTATACAAAAAGCTAAAGCTTTGGTGTGTCTGTCGGTCAATGGGAGATCCTGTGTTACAGTGCAAAGTGTAGTCCGACCTTTCACACCTTCAGGAAGGCACATTCTGGATGACAGGCATCCAGGGCAGGGAGGAGAACAGATCCTGATAGGATTACCTGCAAAAGATGTGCACATCACTCCTTGCCTCCATGCACCTTTCCAGTGCCGAGGGCCCTCTTTGGGCTGGACTTGGTACTTGGGCAGAGGAGGAGAAGGTTGCTGAGCCTGCAGCTGGCATTCCAGCTCCTCCTGAGTTGGTTTTAGGGAGGCCACTGGGAATGACAGGAACAACCCTTCTGGTCAACAAGGGATTTTGCAGACTAGGCCACTTACAGTGTGCTGGAATTAAAATTTATTACACTTAGTGTAAAAACAATAGTTTTTAGTGATGCATAATTTACTGCATGAATGGTCTGATACTTGAGTATGGAAAGCAATTGAAGGCCTGGAGACAACCTGAAGTTGAAAAAATGTCCATTTTTTAAAAGTGTGTTTTTGAAGGTAACAAACCTTCCTTCAACCCATCATTTAAGTGAGTTATTTAGTCTTCATGTAGACTAGAATTTTAGACAGTATCTAATCCATCTGCTTATAGAAAGAGTTGTCGTTCATTCACCACCTGACAGAACTATCCTGGGGTTAACTACAGGTTCTGCTACTGTCTGAGGGAGGGGGCAGCAGCTGATGTTATTTCAGTTTTTATAGTCCTTAGCTCTGTGTTTAATATAGCTTTGCTGTATTAAATTCACTGCTAACAGTCTGCCCAGCCATGTGAGCAACTATATTGATGCTTCCTGTAGTGCAGGACTCGGTGACATCTTTCAGCAAGGAGTTCCACAAGTTTTCACTGCTTACTGTTTGGAAAAGTAGCTTTTACTATTACTAGCTGTATGGCTTTTCCATTTCAGTGGAGGTCCCTTTTCTCCTCAGCTGAGGTAGGGTGAATAGTTCCTGATCTATGTTTTTTCCCTGCTGTTTATTATTTTGTGTACTTTGATCATGCTTGTTTTTACTCACTTTTTTCCCCTGCAAACATTCCCAATCTTTTCGATCTCTTTACCGTTCTTCCCACACATCTTTCTGATGTACCTTCCTTACATGGGCTAACCAGAAATGAACAAAGTACTGCAGATGAGGCCGAATTACTGATGTATGTAACAGGTAAAATCCTGGCCCTGTTGAAGTTGCTGACATCTAAGGGTGGAGGTTTCTCCCAGTGCTGTCACATTTCCTACGTTATTCTTCCTCCCATTTTTCATGTATTCAAAATTTGGCAGCTGAGACTCTCATCTAGCATCCTACCGATTCAGCATCCCCCCTTAAAGTGCTGTTACTCCTCAGATTAGCAGTGTAGCTCTGTGGGCAGGATTACTTCCTTCCCCAAAATACTTTGAGAAGGCTCAAATTTTGTCCCGATTCACGTTTGTTACAGAACCACTCTCGGTGTTAGTTTTGAACAGCTGAAACTGAGAGCAGCAGCTCAGACTTTGGAACAATGCTGCTTGTGTTCACAGTGACCTTTAGCTGGAAAATCTGCTAAAATACATTATTTAGTATATGAAAGCAAAGAAACAATTTTTTTTTTTTTTTTTGCCTCAGTAAATGACTGTCCATAAAGCGACAGGAATAAAAGGCAAAACAAGCCAGAGTTTTTCCCCAGCATCTGCAAAAGGAATCTGTTAAGTTCTGTTTCCTGCCCAGAAACATCTAAGAAATGCTGAGATTGTTGCTGGCTAATAAATACAGTAAATGAAATGTTAATAAATCACCAGCAATTTAGCCTGACAATAACATGGATTGACCACATTGATTAAATTGATTATGTTTCATATATTTACAATATGTAGACAGAAGCCTAATTTATTTTCTGAAGAGTTCAAGGTAGGTATCACTGGTTTAAAGAGGAAAAAAAAAGGCAAAACAATGGAGTAATGTTTGTGGTTGCTATCTGCAATAATCTAATGCTGACAGAGAGCAGTATTTTATTTAGTAATTAACAGTGTAAAGGGGAGAGAAGCTGTCATGTTGGTTCTTAAGCTGGAGAATGTGATGAAAGATGATATCTGCGATCTCATCCTTTCCACTTGTTTAGGATTGTCAGGATGAGAAATGTCAGCATTATGAAAGCTCAGCTCTGCTCTTGATATGATAAAACCCTTCAAAAGCCAGTCTTTCTCTCCCTCTCCCCCCTCCTTTCTCCCTCTCCCTCTTGCACTTGCTTTTTTTTATTTATCCTGTTTTGTTAGATGGCAGAAATATAATTCTTTTCTTTCTTCCTATTATAAGCCACCATTTTTGTTTTATTATATGTTTCACAACCCCTAATGCCCCACTGAAAATTACCTTGTTAAATGACAGTGTTTCAAAGCCATGAATCCTTTCCACCATTCCCTCAGAGGTTTGAAACAGTCAACAGACTGTAAAGAATAAATAATAAAAAAGTATTGATTATTTTGATGACTGTGAGATTCAATTAAGTATTAATTTTGCCCTCCAGTGGACCTATCAAGGTATTCAAAAGGGAGGATTCGGCTCAGCTAAATGCGTGCTGAGTGCTTCAGCCTTAAATAGGGAGAAAATGTGTTTACCTACAGTATTTGAAGAGGAGTGCATTGATGCACAGAGTCCAATATTTAAGTGCTGTGCAAATTAAGCCCTGGTGACAGTGACATTGTTTTTCAGCGATATGAGTATTGACTAAAGAAGTGCATTTGATGACAGCTTAAACTATTTGTATTGATTAACATTTTCATAGATTATCATGTGTCATATCAAATTCACTTTTCAGACATGAATACATTAAAAAACCCATAGGCAAACATCGACCAATGTGAGGACGGGACAGAGGGAACATGCTAACCAACCTACTTGCTTGCTGGTCACCTGTTCTCTGCATAAGAGCCATTTAGGCATGAACTTTGCAATAAATAGCTGCCAGAGAGCGCAACAAGGTCACTTGTTCCTTCCCCCTTTTTTTTTTAGTTTCCTCTTTTTTTTTTTTTCCTTTAAGCTATCATGATATTATGCCTATTAGTTTGCAAACGGAATAATAGAGTGTGCTTGGAAATAATGCCTGACCCCCAAATGTCCTCAGTGAGCAGAAGATAAAACAGATCCAAACCAGCAAGGATACCAAATTTAAATGTATATACATGTCTAATGTTTTACGGGGGAGATTATGTTGCAAACACAAGACTAATTGCAAACTGTATGTGTAAGTATCTTCCCTAATTTTATCTTTTTTAAAAAACATGGTTTCTGTGTGATTTTATTTTTCAAAAGAGAAAGATTGTGTTTGTGTGTGTGCTTATGGACTTCTGGAGTATAGTATCCCAAAGGCAGGAATAGTTAGAAGAAATCTGTCTCTCTCTGTTGAATGTATGTGATGCAATAGCTATTTGCTGCTGTGTATTTTAATAGAATGCTAGAAACTGTGTATTTGATTCTGTTAATGTTGTGCAGCTGAGGATGCCTCTTTAAATCACTGTGGAGCGCTCACAGGGTGCTCCTCTTCCGTGGCATTGGAGCATACAGGAATTTCTTTTCTTACGACGTTAAGGACAGGGTGAGGTGTAAAAAAAACATACACACAAAAAAGCACATCCCATAATTAAAGCTGTGTTGGTTATGTTGCTTTCATAGAAGTTTTTCTCCAAAGCATCCTGAATCTCTCACATGCTAGTTGAGCTTTAATAGGGTGGGGAGTAATGGAAAACTCATTGGATCTGTAATAGCTCTTCACTTGACTGCAGCCAGCAATAACAGCAGGAGCAGCCAGAGATAAGAGAGAGAGAGAGAGAGAGTGTGAGTGTGTGTGTGTGTGAGAGGGAGGGAGTGGAACAGAGACTATACGCACACCAAAGCTGCCACTTTTTTTTTTTCCCCTCACTTTTTTTTTTTCTCCCCCATCCTAGGATCCAATGATAGCTGGACAAGTCAGTAAGCCCTTGCTGTCACTGCAGAGTGAAATGAATGCAGAGTTGAGAGGTGAGGACAAGGCAGCTACTTCAGACAACGAGCTGAATGAGCCCCTGCTTGCGCCTGTGGAATCAAATGACAGCGAGGACACTCCCAGCAAGCTCTTCGGTAAGTCTGTCTAGGTATTTCATTTCACTGCTACCATGTTGTCCGGAAGAGCAATCTCCCCCTGCTCTTCTCCCCCTCCTTTCTTTCCTTGTTCGCTCAATTTTGTTCTAAGTACGAAGGAGTAGCTTGGAGCGTGCAGGCATGCAGCCCTCTGCTCCCATTGCAACTGGCTATGAGAATGACAGTGTCAGTCCTGAAAACTTTTGTCAACAATGAACTTATTTTATACAAGTTGCAGACATTTTAGGTTTGCTTTTGCATGTAGAAAAAACCCCAACAAACTGGGGGTGGGGGGAGTGTAATTTTCTTGGAGTAGTTCATTAACATTTATTGGGTCAGGTGCTGGTGTGTCTCATGCTACCACCTTGTTCTAAGGCTGGATTAAAGTGCGAAGTTACCATTTTATATGGTAAAGATAAAGCTGGCTGAAGGGAGCTGAAACATTCCTGTAGAAAACACTCTGTACTGAGTAAACAAAGGCTAAGAAGGGTACTGCACATGGAGCTAATGTTTTTGGAATTTAAATTAGAAATGAAATATTTCCCCTGAAGCCTCTGCAAAGAGAAATTACCTTTTGGATCTTACTTTATTTTTTAGTAGTCTAAATTGTACCAAAGAAGTGTAACCTTTCCGAATCAAAACGAAAGCAGTGAGAGTGGCACTCCAACACAGACATCTGTCATTCAAACGGATGACACCCTGTAAGCCAACTCAAGCAACTCTGATCTCTAATCAGAAAAGGGAGCAGGGCTGTTGAGGCGCGTGCTTGAGTGATAGATGTTGATAGATGCCTGAGCTGGAGCAGCACTGTATGGTACACAGGGATATTTTGGGTTTGGAGGGACTGCTCTCCTGGAGGAAGTTCCTTTTAATTATTTCCAATTGTGACTTGAGATAAACCTTAATAGAAACAGAGCATTTCCTTATTTTACATGATCCTCTAGGTGGAAGTTTAAGGGAAAATGATCTTGTTTAAAGGGAATGCAGCTTTGAGAGACAGAGGGTGAGAGCCCATTTTCTGAGATTCAAGTTTTAATTTTATAGTCTGTAAGGAAACTGTGTTTAGATTTCAGTGTTCCAGCTCAGGAAGAGCTGCAAGATCTTTTCTAAACAAAAGAATACATGCAATTTTCTTTTAAAATGTTTAAGAGCATATTCTTACTGAAAGATATGGCACAAAATATTCTACTGAACAACTTCACTAAAGATATGGGAAAATGATAATTTAAAAATCCTAAAACTTAATTTCTGGATTACAGTCATGACCATTACTGAATATCGCATCTATTTTTAAGCACGCTCTTAGTAATCTTTGTTTCCATGGGAAGCATAATTTCCATTAGCAGTTTGAATGTTCAGAAAATATAGAATAATTATTTTAGTCTATTTCATCCAGCAAAGAATTGTAATGTCTAAAATTCAGAGGGCTATTAGTTGTCTGGAGTAGTACAAATATCCTCAGCTGTGGTTTTATGTATTTAATTTGCTCAAATATTCAGGGTGCATCTGTTAAATATAGCAAGGCATGTACAAAACGAAAGCCAGACTTTTTAATCTGAGGGCAGTGAAATATCTGTCTGTTTTTAGGTCGGGCAAGTCTTGTAATAAAAGGAAGGATATTTTTTGAGCCATTGTCAGTTGGATGCTCCTCGGTGATAGCGAAATATATACAGACACTTTTCATTAGAGTTGCCGTGTGGGGTACAGAAATGATGGGCAACAATATCTTGTCTCCTTCTGAACTGCAAATGTAATTTATGTCCCTAAAAGCACTGATGGAAAAGCCACAAATTAATCTATTGTGTTGTTTCTGTTGGTGGGGGTAAGAGGTTTCCTTGTCTGATTCTTATACTGCTAAAAAGAGGTTCCCAAGTAGGGGAACAAAAGTAGGTGAAATAGTTCAACTGTGCCTCAGCATGAACTTACCTACCATTTATCGAGGTTCTGTTACAATTATGATGGATGCTACAGATCTTTGAGCAGTGGCCCTTGTCAGTTAAATTTGGTAACTTTGAGAACATAAAGAAAAGGCAGTGGGGCTGTTTTGGTATGTCTGAGGATCAACCTGAGCAAATTTAAAATCAAGATGATCAGCCTTTATGTCACAGATGCATCCCTTAAGGTAGATTTGCAGTAAACATTGAAAATAATTAAGTATAGTTTTGTTCATAGCTTTGATACTTAAATATGGAGCATTATTCTGTAGCTATTTCTCTTTATCATATTACTCATAGGATTAAACAGGAATGCATACTTGGGACTTTTGCAGCCTCTGAGATGAAATTATTTGGGGACTTACTGATGTGGTGGCACAGATTAACTATTTTCTCCTCCAACTTTCTTTCATTTGATCAGAGATAATACTTTTCCTTTTACCATGTAACATTTAATACGTGTTGTGTGAAAATTAGGCCAAAATCTGTTTAGCAGGAGATGGTGGAGCATTTTTTGGAGTCAAGGGGAGGAGGCAGGTCCACAGAGAACTAAGTTTTTTCTACGCTGCTGCTTTCATGTGTTTTGAAGAAATTGTGAAAATGATGCCCTGATTTAGCTGGGATGAAGGACCAGCGTTTGAGTGTCTTGTTGATGTTAGCAGTATTTCACCAGTCTTATTTTCATATAGATGAACAGAGTTGAATGATTATGCAAAGAGCTTTCTTCTTTCTCACTGGACACATTCTGCTTAGCTTGTCTTGATGGATGGGTTTATTTCTGTAAGGACCTGCGTTGCTCACATCTACCTTTTCCTAAAATCCACCTCCTTTTTCTCCAGGTCCCTTGGTTTGGTATTTCACTACGTACCATAGAAACACTGGGTATTTATTTTCTGTTTTGGTAGCAGATAGCACAATAAATCATAAAAATGGCACCTTTTCAAGAGCAGTTGCTGCTGCAGGTCAGGAAGGGGCAGGAGTACAATTAATTGTACTTATTTTTGACTTGAGAAGATACACAGTAAACTTTGTGTTTCTCTTCTGGGTGCTTTGCTGTCAGTGACAAAGCAGGTGGAAGATGCAGCTCCTTGGATCTCAGAAATACCAGCACAAGCTGTGTAAGTTCCTGATAATCTGAAACACCCCTTTAAACTGGTGCACAAGTATCTGGGAAAAGGCACTTTGTCACTCCAGTGTAGTTGTTACCTGTGAATAATGGAAGGAGCAGCTGTGGTTAGAGGGGTTGTACCTCCTTGTTGTTTGCCTCCTTGCTATCTCCTGGTGGCGGTGTTTGGTTTGGGTTTTTATAAAGAAAAAGCTGTCCTGTAGCCTGAGGGTTTGCATCTGTAATCCTCCACTGGTGCATTTCTGCCAGTGGACGCGTGGAATCTGCGTACAAAAGACTTTTCACACTGAAATAATGTAAAACAAGGGAATAAAAAGCATGGTGAAAAATGGTTTGTGAAGTGCAAAATGTTGGTAAAGGACTATTCTGAAGCACACTAGCTCTGAAGTCCTGTTTTGAAGTGTGGAGATAGCACAGCTGCAGTGTTTCAGTTAAAGAAATCCCAGGTTTGCTGGGCAGAATATGAGGCCAAGGTGTTTTGCAAGAGGTCTTGTAGCTAATTGTGAAGCAGAATCTCTGATTTTAATTATATGATGTGCTTAAACAGAGAAACTGAGTCTGGTAGTTGACATTCCTGGTAGTGTCACTTTCAGATGAACTTCTCTTACTCTGCAATATGCTTCAAAGTAGTAACCCAGGCTCTTACAGAGTAAAATTGGTGTTTGTTAATGCTAAGTAGTAGGTTCACTTAAATGAACACATTGGGATCTGATATGAAGTTAATGAATCCAAGTTGCCATTTTATATGGTATCTTTAAACAAGTTTAGAAGAAGTTATGAAGTGTTTGCCTGAAAAAATCTAGTAATAACCCCAACCCCCGCCTTCACATTTAACTCTGTAATACTGTAGCTGTTGGGATTCAAAAGTTGGTGTAGGCACCGTGGGTATGTCTTGCATAAAACTCTCTGTGCTGTAAATGTCCTAGGAAAGAAGTGGCTAGTCCAAGCACCAGAAGCCTCTGTGGACTGAGCCCAGCTTTCTGGAGTTAGATCCAGTCCTTAATTCATCCTTAATTGCAGGTACTTTGTGACATAATTAGCTGGTGGTATAAGGAAAGCTGGGAATGCATTTGCATGGTAAGGTAGTTTTACTGTATTATGAAAAGTTGCTCTTTGAGATTGAGCCCATAGTTCTCTGCACGAAACTTGCTGAAATAAAGCGAGCTGTAAGTATAGAGTGAGTGCAAGACCAAGCCTGTAATTGTGGAGCACAAGTGTTCCTTATTTAATAATTGCAGGACAGCCAGAAATCAACTGCAAATATCTTTGGTGGTTTGGTTTTTGATTTTTTCTAATATAGATATTTATTTATTTTTTTCTGGCAAGGTTTTGTTCCAGTGAAATGAGATCTTAGATTTCCTACACTGGATCTGAAGACTCTGGTTTTATTTGGTTCACTACCAGTTTAGGTTTTTTTGCCTTTCTCATCATCCTGTGTGTGTTTGAAGTCTGGAATGGGGATATGTGAGTTAAACGAATCTGCACACGTTTCCATAAACAAGGGTTTATTTGCAAAGCCCTGCATAGGGATTTTGTTTCCTTTTCCCATATTGTTACCTATGTTTCAGAACTGCATGCATCTTTCTCTATAAGCGTACCCGTGTACGCTGCAGCAGAACAGGGCAGAAGTTGTTCCTAGCTGACTGTGTTGCAGGTAGATCCCTAGTATTTCTCTTTGAGGGATCATACATTATCCTTTTTTATTTTTATTTTTTAAATTGGACTTGCCTTGATTAGAATTTATGGCACTGGAGTCATTTCAGTTACAAAGGATAAAGGACTAAATTGTCTTTTACCTCTTGAGACAGTGGTCTCTGCAGGTCAGAGCAGAGGTCATTGCCAGGTTGCTGTGAGGAAGCTCGCATTATTGTCATTAACAGCATATGTAGCCTGTGGGGGAAAGAAAGGCCTTCAGACCAAGAGCTTTCCTTTCATCAGTG